TCCCTTCACCACCTGTGGGAGTCTTTTGCCGTCGGCTGCATTTCCGACTTGGAATCGCTCCTCGCCACTCGATCTTTCCCAATCCCATGCCAGCTGAATCAGCGCTCCTTTCCCGACGTATTCAGCTTAACTTCAGCTGATTTGCATCTGGACTTCATCTACAAACACCTGTACCACACTCACTGGCGCACTCATTGATTTGATCTGCAGTTCGACCAGTTCAGATGTATTGCAAAGCTAAAAAGTAGGGGACGGAGCCCTCTGCTGCCTGCTACCCCTCTGGGAGGGCCACGGAATTGAATACAGAGCTGAGCACAAAAAGTGTTCAAAGGACATTTAGTCAAAAATGTCGCTTACAGGTAGATTGTCATTAGCAAGGCAGAGCAGCGGTATGGCCGAGTCTACGCTTGGGAACTCATTTTCTGACTCTTACCATTTACTGACTAAAGCAAAGTTACTGGAGCCTCAGTTTCCTCATCTGCAACCCGGGGAGAGGACCAGTACCCATCACAATCGATTGCTATGAAGATTCAATGACAATGCAGATAAGGCACTTAGTACAGCGTCCCCGCACCATCCACACCACCCGGCACGCCGCTTATTCCTGAGGACCGGGCTGGGGCGTCGCCTCCTTTGTATTGCCTTCCTACCCTGACTTCGCAGAATGATCCCACAGCCTGGATCCACGCCCGTCCGCCCGCCAGCTCAGGGCTGAACGGCTGAGGCGGGTGCGCGGTGGAGAAAAGAGCCGCAGACTGAGGAAGGTCGGGAAAGAGAAAGGAATACACTAGACGCTGCGTCTGAATCCCCTCCACCCAAAGGCCCGCCAGCAGCAGCAGCGCCGCCCCACCTCCCGCCGGCTCCGCCGGAAGTCGGTCAGCGCCAGCCGGAAGCCCCGCCCCCTCGAGGCGCCGCGGACCGGAGGAGCCACCGCTCTTCACGCCAAGCTTTGCCCGGCCAGGACAGCACTGCGGACACCCTGCAGCGCTGTCCACCCAGATGACAGCTGCGACCTCGTCCAAGCCGGTGACTTAACTCGGGCCCGTTACCCGTTCCCACGTTGTTGCCAAGTCTCCAGCCTGGAAAGTAAACTGGCTTCAGGTATCCTGTTTAGATCCTTAAAATGAGGAACGGCAGGCACACACACAGTACTGCCACCTTACCCCTTTTCACTTCGTCGTGAGGAAGCTGCGGTTCAGTTCATGTTTCAACCCAAAGATGTGTGGTTTTGGTCTGATGGCACTCACCCAGCACTTGGGCAGAAAATAAGGTAAAGGGGGCCCATGGGTCCCTCAGACAACCTGAACCTGAGATCTCTCAATCTAGACAAACAGCTTGAAGTGATCTAGATGCTATAGGAAGTCACAGAAGCTTCTTATCCTATTGAAAGCAAGACTTCCTATCCAATGGCAATACAAACTTTTATATACAGTAAGTTAAAAAATATAGGCTGTCCATATAACAACCTATCTATAGTAAGAAAGTTAAAAAACAGGTTCAAGAGGAAGTATTTCCAACTAGCTTTTCTTATAGGCCTTCTTCTCAATGAGACCCCTCCAGCTACTGATATATCCTCAAATGCTGCTGCCCACTATAAAAAAAATATATGTATCAGTCCTGATTTCAGAAAAATTCAGACTGACAAATCAGAGGTAAGAGACCAGTCCACTGAAAACTAGGGAGTGTCATAAATCACCACACACAAAACACAGGCTCTTTGCTTCAAGTTTTAATCAAAGCTTTTATTAAGATTACTTTATTCCTGCATCTTCTCAATTGTTTCTTCCTTGTATTTGCCCTTTTCCTTTCCCACTTGGCGAGATTTGGCTTTCCGTTCAAGGATCTTTTTGCGGTCTTTGTCCAGTTTTAGCCTAGTGATAACCACCTGCAGAAAAACAAGAAAAAATACTCCCAAGCTTTAAATAATCACTAAAACACATGGGAAAGCCCAACATTCAATACCATTTCCCACACCTGGGGTAGGTTGATGGCTAAACAAGATTTAACTTTTTAAAAATTCCAGAAATTACTCTTTAGCCATCAAACCTGGCTTATTTACTAATTTCCCACCAACGAAGGAGAAAAAGGCAAGATGGCATCAGTAATTCTTATGGCCTCTTCTGTGCTTCATTGTAAAATGTGTTTCTTTTTCATTGAGAAATATGATTCTGCTCTTCTCACTCCAGTTTTACAAGCTGGCATATATATTTGTTTCTAAAGTAACTTCAGGCTGGGTGCGGTGGCTCATGCCCCCAATCCCAGCACTTTGGAAAGCAGAGGCAGGTGGATCACCTGAGGTCAGGAGTTCGAGACCAGCCTGGCCAACATGGTGAAATCCCTTCTCTACTAAAAATACAAAA